AGTGAGAGCAGTGTGGACAGACTGATGAAGCAGATCTCATCATTTGTTTCTGAGATCTCGGATGAGTTCAAGGTCAGACATTTTTGTTTCAGTTGAGTTTTAGGCTGTATTTAATGACAAAGTAGAATAAAATCCATACACACCAGGTGGGCAGCTGCTATCGGGAATAGAATGATCCCATTTTACACTGTTGAAATATCCTCAGTTTTTATTTATAAGCAACTTCTCATACGTTAAATCAGGAAATGAAGACTAGGCTGACATTTAAGTTGTAAATGTCCTATGCCTTAATGTTTTTTTCCACTGTCATTCAATATTTGTTGAAGGCAACAATGTGGACAGGATGAGCTTTTTTTTTTCTTTTTTGTTTTTAATTCTCTGGATTCAGCTTCTATGGCCACAGAAGATTAAAATCTAAAATGATATTTCCTAATTGATCCTCTTTTCAAAAATCCTGTTATTTTTGTGCTGTTATCTTTTGTCACAAATCTGTCCCTGATGCTTGTTTATTCCAGGTGGTGGTGGTGCAGGCCATCAGCGCTCTCTGTCAGAAATATCCCAGGAAGCACAGCGTCATGATGAACTTCTTGTCCAACATGCTCAGAGATGATGCAAGTTGTTGCTTCATGCTTTGGTTTTTGCTTTAGCATGATCGATACAGAAAAGTTGCTAGTGCACAAGACTCACAGCGACCATCTCTCCTCTCCCTGCAGGGCGGGTTTGAATACAAGCGGGCCATCGTGGACTGCATCATCAGTATCATTGAGGAGAACCCAGAGAGCAAAGAGACTGGCTTGGCCCACCTCTGTGAGTTCATTGAGGACTGCGAGCACACAGTGTTAGCCACAAAAATCCTGCACCTGCTCGGCAAAGAGGGCCCACGCACCCCCCAGCCATCCAAGTACATCCGCTTCATCTTTAACAGAGTGGTGCTGGAGAGTGAGGCTGTTCGTGCAGGTGAGACTGAATGCAACAGTGTAGTATAGCATTGAATTTTTGGTAATTTCACATGTGATCAGACTCCAGAGGCTGACCTTAAATATCAAAGCCAAGTGCCTACATCAGTGCTACTCTTAATTCAGCAGGGCATTAGTTACATGACATGCAGTTTGATTCATATTCACACTATTGTCATGGCATTTTGTAAGCACTGTGGTTTCTTTTTCCACTCTCAGCTGCAGTCAGTGCTTTGGCTAAATTTGGAGCTCAGAATGATGACCTCCTCCCGAGCGTCCTGGTTCTCATGCAGAGGTACTAACTGTCATTACTTTGCTTGTTTCTTGTGTAACACTGCATCACCACATTTCATCTGTCTATGCAAAACACTGAAAGGACACTGGTTAAATTATTGGTAATATTGGTGAGACTTGTAATGTAACATAGACCCTACACTACACATTTGTGTCACAATGTCTATGTGATGTAGTTTGACTTTAACTTGTGCTCTCACAGGTGTATGATGGACAGTGATGATGAGGTGCGAGACAGAGCTACATTCTACATGAATGTGCTACAGCAGAAGCAGAAGGCTTTGAATGCTGCCTATATCTTCAATGGTAAAGACGCACACTGCTCCATTCTGTGTTTAACAGTCAGGAGCTTTGGCTGGAAGAATTTTCCAGTGTTACATGTGAAGGTGCCTTGCTTGGGCTCCTGTCAGGCAGCTCATAGGGCAAACACTTAACAAGTTAAGTGTTGAGCCTCTTCTGCATGTTGCTCTCAGGTCTGTCTGTTTCGATCCCGGGCCTGGAGAAGTCTCTCCACCAGTACACTTTGGAGCCCTCAGAGAAAGCCTTCGACATGAAGACTGTCCCCCTGGCTACCACTTCTATTACAGAACAGAAAACAGGTACAACCACATAGCTATTTACTGCTCTACACTAACCTGCACAGAGTTCCTCTTGATCTTCATACTCAGCTGAGAAACTGTCATGTTTTATTTCCTCCTAGAAATCTCCCCTGTTGCTACCAGCAAATTGCCAGAAAGGTTGGCCCCATCACGCCAGGACATTTATCAGGGTATGACATGAACACAGTGTGCTTTATGGGGTTCAAAACATAGATGATGCAATTAGACACTGATATTTGCCTTCTGATGCAATACATGGGTCTGACTGGACATCTTGAATGAAATGTGTTTTGTCTTCCTGTTTTTGTATTAATCTTTCTGCTTTTCGTCCCTCTGACAGAGCAACTGGCATCCATCCCAGAGTTCCAGGGTCTCGGCCCACTCTTCAAGTCTTCTGAGCCAGTCCAGCTGACAGAGGCTGAGACAGAATACGTGGTGCGCTGCATCAAACACACCTTCACTAGACACATGGTGTTCCAGTTCGACTGCACAAACACTCTGAATGACCAGCTTCTGCAGAAGGTACCAGCTGGAAGGAGATTTCTATTGGGGGATTTTTTCATGATCATTTTTGTTTTATTAACTTGGAGTTTTGTGGTTCTTTGTCAGGTGGTAGTACAAATGGAACCATCAGAGGCCTATGAGGTGATACACTACATCCCTGCCCCCAGCCTCCCCTACAGTCAGCCTGGTTCTTGTTACACTCTGGTCCGGTTGCCTGATGATGACCCCACCGCTGGTAGGAACACTGGGACATTACAGGGCTTATTGGGACTCTTAACAGTGACGGCAGGATATGAATGCCATTTAGAGCACAAACAAGTTATTCAGTCATACAGCAGCCCAAAGGTGCAAGCCTAGCTAAAGACTAAAGAAAGTTTTGAAATATGTCCCGTCTGTCCACAGTGTCTTGTACCTTTAGCTGTACTATGAAGTACCTGGTCAAAGACTGTGACCCCAACACAGGAGAGCCAGACGAGGATGGGTATGACGACGAGTATGTGGTATGTGATCATAGTTATCTGCACACTATCAAAATGTTACCACAGATGACAGTCTTAAGTGTTTTCAGCAGTTATGTCATTCTGTCTTTTGTTTTTGTACCCTTTTCTTCCATCTCTCACCATTGGACCTTCTGTCCACATGTTATCTTTCCTTGCTCTGTGCATCATTAGTTGGAGGACCTGGAGGTGACTGTTGCCGACCACATACAGAAGGTTTTGAAACCAAACTTTGGAGCAGCGTGGGAGGAAGTGGGAGATGAATTTGAGAAGGAAGAGACCTTTGCCCTGGCATCTGTACGAACTCTAGAGGGTAGGCAGAGTTAAAAAAAAAGATTTATTTGAAAATAGAAGCAAGTTTTAATTTTAACATGGTATTTCTTGGATTTTATGTATGCAGTCCCTAAATGCATCATATCATAGAGCATCATTATCTGTGGCTTTCATGTACAGAGGCTGTGGGTAACATCATCAGCTTCCTGGGAATGCAGCCGTGCGAACGCTCAGACAAAGTTCCAGAAAACAAGAACTCGCACGTCCTCTTCCTCGCTGGTGAGTGTTTTTTTTTTATTTTTTTATTTATATATATGTGTGTGTGTGTGTGTATATGTATATATATGTGTGTGTGTGTGTGTATATGTATATATATGTGTGTGTGTGTGTGTATATGTATA